AGAGTCTGAAAGCTAGCTAAATATTGCCAGTCGCCATATTGGTTCTTAAAATTCACTGGAAAAAATCGCGCACTTTAAAGATTGTAATCATTTTGAGGTAAATACATCAAATTTCATTTTGGACACTTATACATCATGTTTACATCAAATTTACAACCTTACAAGTGCACGCTTTTCCAGATCGAAAATACTTTGTCAAGAAGCAATAAACAATGAATCATTCAAGTCTTTAAGTGCAATTTTATTTTATATATATAGTTTGTAATATCGGGGTGTCCGTAATAAGCCAACATGATTTTTTTCATATCTCATATATATAGGCCCCTTGTCTTGTGAGGCTGTCGACATAAAATGACAACTAATTTAAATGGCATTTCGAATTATGTCGCAAACTTATTGGATGCTCAAGTGCATCAATTCTCAAATAGACTTGTACACTTGGACACTTAATTACTTGCTAGGAGTGCAACAGCAAAAAAAAGAAAGAAAAAAACATTTTCATGTAACTTCAGTGCAAATTACTCTGTATCTGATTCAAAATCTATCTGACAAAGCTTTTTGGGAATTTTTTTCRTCAGCCTTTTTGAATTATCTCGCTCAAAATGGGGTACTATCGTCGTGTATCGAGTATGGAACTACGTCATAGGCTTGCGAACACTAGTGAGACTTCAGGATTCTTATCTCAAAAATCAAAAAAAGAGATACAAGTAATCGATTCGATCCAACAATTCTAGCCTGTCAAATAAGCTAATTGGTCAAATAAACACGTGCATTTAAGGTGCATAATGATGAGTAAAACACAGGCCTGTGCAGTATATTCAATGTCATTCACTTGGGCGGAATGAGATGGGATTCAATCTCTTGGACAAGAAAGGTCCAGGTACGACTGAAATTTGAATCAGTGTATCCTTCTGCTGGGCCCCATTCTTTAGGCAGGAGTTGGACATATGGATGGTAAGCCACCGCCTTAGATATAAATCTAAATGCCTTATTGGTTAAATCAACCAATGGATTATTGTCCACGTCCTTAACGGAGACTTCAACTACTGGAAAAAAGTGCGGAGACTCTGTGTAATGTCCTTCTAAGACGAAGTGTTTCTTGCCATGAGCAAAATACAGGCGAGGTGGAATATCAGCGGTCATCTTGTCCCAACAATCTTGGCCAGAAACTTTAACCAGCTCATTTTTCCTCAGACTAGCCGTATTAGTTTTCTCCATRAATGCCAGTTTCCTGAAGCCCATCCTTGGGTTTTCAAGAGCGAACTCGAAAACTCTGAAGTCTTGTTCGCCTCCGCAAACAAAGGGGAACTTTAAAGAGCCCACTTTATCGAAATAGATAACAAAACACCCTCCAGCTGAGAAGAAATTGGAAGACTTGGTGCTAGCGCGGTGTTCATAGGAGGAAAAGGACTGGATTTCCCTCTCGAATTTCAGGCCATTARTATCGTCACCTGCGGTGCCACAGAACACGTTGATGGGCAAACTTGTGTGATTGATCAACTGAAAGTAATGATTGTTTKGCTTTTTTTCAGGATGGGGGTAGAGCTTTGTATCCCATATCATCTCAAGCTTGAATTTTGTGGCTTCGTCTACTTTTTGTTCGACAAAGGCATTCGTTGGCATTTCTTTCATTTTGTTCTTTTTACAAAACTCATTGACAATGGCAAACGACTTGATGTTACTTCGAAGTTTGAAAATTTTGAGCATCTTTCCTCCGTTTCCACCTGCTCCCCCTTCTAGTGGAAGCAGCCCTCCAGGAGCGAGGTACTTTTTATCCGACAAGAATCCTAGTTTCTCCTTGGCATCATCTTTTTGTAGTTTCAACTGTTCTTGTACATATGATATATTATGACCTGTAGCTTTGAATGTTGCTATAATGCTCCCCAGTAGCAGCATAAAAGACGTCTGCGCGTTACAATACATCACCATGGCGTTCACACATGCATTCAAACTCTCCTTATCATTACAGCTTACATCTTTGGTGAAATCTCTTGAGATCTCTCCAATGAAGTTCCCGAAATCACGTTGCCAAAGAGCTGGGTTTGGAAGCGGGTTGTGATTTTCCGCTTCACCTGGCATCGATGTTTTCAAAACGTTTARATTGCCAAACATTGCTTTCATGTTCGCCTTCAGCCCTTCAAACCTGTCCAGRCGATCATCTTGTTTGACCCTTGCAAGCTCAGCTCGTACTTTATCTGCAAACACTGTTGCCATATTTGGTTTCTTGGGTGTATTTGCTGACAAGATGGCCCCGAGAACACCACACACGGCGCCTGCAGCAGCTCCGTATGGTCCACCAACCAAYGCGACGATAGAGCCTACAATATCAAGACTTCCTTTAATGACATCAACAGGGTTATTGCTCTGCAAATCATCGAGAGCATTAATTGCAGTTTCAACCACTTTGCCAGCTTGTTGAATTTTTTGGTTTTTTGATTGATTGTCCCATTCGCCTTTGATCGCATCGAGTTTCTCTAAAACCTTAGCATCCGCGCCATAATCTTTTCCTTTTTCTTGCAATTTTGAAAGGTTTTTAGACATTTTGAAATCAGTTCGTAGTAACTTAGCAAATGTTAAAATAAAGACTCAAGTAGCTCGCAACTGTTCAAACCAAATGCGTGTAAATTCCGACAAGCAAGCTCTATATTGTTGACATTATATCAAGACAATACATTTTTCAGCATGAGGTGTGGATGCGTCAAAACAATCACAATGCATAATTAAATGATTGGATCACTGGCCACTAGATTTAATATTGAAGACAACCAAGATAACTTAATACCTTCAATCAATAAACGTTAATACATGACTTAAGATTGTTTACGCATTTGAATGTAAATGATTTAATACATACAATAAAATCCTTTTTTTACAATAAAATACTTAAGTTTTCTCATGTACTGCAAATAATGCATAATTCAAATAAATGTATTGATCTTAAGTCTCACGGAATGAAAATTTGCTTCTGTTTTTATCAATTTTGGCGCATCTTTTCGATATRCTTTCTTATAGAGGTCTTATAAAGGGCTGATATAAAGTAGAATTAATAAAACTCATAATACTCGAAAAATTTATTTAATTATATATTAGTGTCATATGCATATCCGGTCCTCGCGGCGAGGC